GAAATACAAAGGCTTGGTACATATCAATTCATGAACAATGCAACAGATGGAGGGTGTTTGGTGAATGGATCAAAGGCATTTTCTGTGGCAAGATTGACAAAAGTTGGTTAACCAGTGACAAGCAAGGTCTTCCAAGCAGAAATCAAAGTTATCATGGCAAATGAGGGAGCCGTAGACCTCAAGGACAGGACCAGGGGTTTAAGTCAAGAAAGAACAGCATACGCAATGATGGGGTGACAAGTGTCGTGTTTTGGGGTTCATGTGAGATACAAAGGTTGGTAGATGTCAAGTTCAGGAGCAATGCAACAGATAGAAGGTATTGGGTTTGAACGGAGAAGAGGTATTTTTTGTGTTTAGGGTGACAAAGGAAGTGGTAGACCAGTGACAAGCAAGATATTCCAAGCATAAATCAAAAGTTATCATGGCAAGCGATGGAGCAATAGACCTCAAGGCCAAGGCCAGTGGTTTAAATCAGGAAAGAGCAACATGCGCACTGAAGTTGGTAACAATCAATATGCTTTGGGGATCATGTGAAACACAAAGGTTTGGTAGATGTCGGTTCATGAGCAATGCAACAAATAGAGGGTATTGGGTTTTGAACGGAGAAGAGGTATTTTCTGTGATAAGGGTGACAGAGAAAGTGGTGAGTCAATGAACAAGCATGGTCTTCGAGTGGAAATCAGTTATCATGAGAAGTGAAGGAGCAATCGCCCTCAAAAGTGAAGGCCACAAACCAACCACCATATTTTTAAAACTGATAAGATTTTTCTTTGATTTGAAACAGGGGCAGAAAATCTCGTTTGTTTCGGAGAAACCCACCGTTAAAGAAAGGCAAGCACCAGACAGGCATGACCATAAATTTTCAGGACCCTCCTGGAAAATGGGACCTAGTTTAAAAATCGAAACAGTCATAAGTAGCAAATCTAGCATAAATGTACCCCAAGGAATATAAGTTGGTTTCAAAGTTTGCATGTTTGAGATAGGATTCAATTAGGAGTTTTCAGGACCCTCGTGAATAATGAGACCTAGCTTTAAGATTGTTGTTAGATAACAAGATGTAGCGAAAATAATACCTTTAGAAGATATAACTTAGATTTAAAATTGTTGTTTAATTAGGAATTGTCAGGACCCTCCTGGATAATGGTGAGTAGTTTAAGACCCTCTTAGATAACAAGATTTAGCGAAAGTCACACCTTTAGAAGATATAACTTAGATTTATAATTGTCGTTTAATTAAGAGTTGTCAGGACCCCCTGGATAATAGGACCTAGCTTTCAAATTCTTAGTAATATTTGGTAAAATGATTCAGTTTAACACTCACCTATGTGTCCAGCTACCAAACTGGGGCAGAAAATTTTCTTTGTTTTGTTTATTTTTGTTGAAATCACGTACCCGCTTAGAGAACAGGGAGAAGCAATTCAAGTTTCAGCAATCAGGCGCCCACCTGGAGAGCAAGGGAATACAGTTCAAAGTTTCAGCAATCAGGCGCCCACCTGGAGAGCACGGGAATACATTTCAAGTTAAGCAGTCAGGAGCCCACCTGGAGAGCACGGGAATACATTCAAGTTCAGCAGTCAGGCGCCCACCTGGATGGCACGGGAATACATTCAAGTTCAGCAGTCAGGCGTCCACCTGTGAAAAGGGATAGCACCTCAAATTACAGTTCAAGTTTTGGCAATCAGGCATCCACCTGAAGAAAAGGGAAAGCATCTCAGATTACAATTCAAGTCGCTAATAAAGGGACTTCACTAGGAGAATACAAGTCGACAAGGCAACAAGAAGTACAAGATCAAGTTTGAAGACTAGATAGGATTCTTGTAATTCATAGATCATAGCTTAGTCTAGCTTCTTTTATTTTGTCACGGTGTAATAAGGGGTTCAATAAGCAGTAGCAGCAACAGCAGCAACAGTGAAATCACAGCTTCATGGTAGTCCCAGCTACCAAACCTTCCCGAACTACACTGACCTGATTCCTTTTTAGCCAAGGATATGTAGGCAACCTCGGAAGCAGGGTGCGGTCAAATCTTTCAAAAATGTTTCCCACGGAGTATTCAAACGGGCAAAAATCGCTCGTATGCGCTCACTTTATCTTTGCACGAAAACTCTTCGTGTTTCTGAGCAAAGAGGGGCAGCTGTGAGCACGTGATTTTTGCCCTATATGAATTACTCCCACAAATTTAAAATAAAATAATTTCTCCTTTGTGTGCAATTTTGTGGACTTTTGTGGCATCATCTGTTATTGTTTGCATATTGTCTGTACATGTTTATGTTATTTAATTAATGAAAAATACAAAATAATATGTGGCATTTGCATTTAGAATTTAATTCTACAGTTTAGGATTAAGTAGTGATTAAGTTATTTTATAAAAAGAAAAATCACAAAAATAGTTTAAGTGGCACCTTTTAATGTTAATCTTGATTTTGAGTAGTTTTTCTTTTAATTAATTGTGTTAATTATTATTTAGGTTTAATTAGTGTTTTGTAGGATAATTAGGTTCTAGGAATTAATTCAGATTTTATTTTAATTTTGAAAAAAAAAGAGAAGAGAAAGAATTTTTTGGAAAATTGATTTGAAATAGGACAAAGAAAAAGATGAAGCAATCAGATTTGGGCCAATTGTTTAGAGTCTTGCACCAGCCCAATTCATTTTCCCCCTGAAACCCATTAAACGATGGCCCAAAACCCGTCCCTACCCGGTCCGTTCCCTCCACCAGCCAAAACGACTCCGTTTAGGTTAGATCTGATCCAAGCCGTCGATGTTCTTTGATCCAACGGACCTCAACTCGCCCACTCCCCGTATATAAATGTCCGAACGGACCATACCCCCTCAGAACCCCCCACCCACCCACCTCTTCGTCTCTCTCAACTCAGAGACATGAACCCTAGCCGCCGTCTCAAAATTCCCAAATCCCACCGGCGGCGGCGTGACCCAATCCTCACCAAACTCACAGCCTATCTTGCCGAATCTTAAATTTGAGAGCCGGAGGCCAGACCTTGCTTCCACCAAATCAGATCCAAACACTCACCACTCCCTTTCCCTCCCAAAACCTGAAGTCAATCCCTTCAAGCCCTCTTTAAAACTCACAGAGATCGAGTCTGGATGGACATGCATGGGTTGCCAAAATGAGTTGAGCCGGAAAAAGGTGCCCCTTGGTTGTCCTCAAAGGGGAACACTCATGTGGTACCTCTTTCCGGGTTTAAGTCAAAGAAGACGGGTATAGCTGGATAGCCATGGCAGTAGGTATTCACTTCTTCATATTCTTCTGTCTTGCTATTTTTCTTTTAACAAATAATGAATTAGTTCGCTCAATGTTAGTTTAGCTTGTTTTAGGTTTGAATTCAGGGGTTTGCCGGTAGATAAGTAGGTTTCCAATTTATTGTGATATCGATTTGTTAGGTGCATTGTTTACAAATTATTGCTTCTGAATATCTCTTTAAAGTTCATTTTTCCATCTATGGGTTTATTGGTTTAAGTTTTCAATTGGTCTTTCCTTTGGGCTCAAGACTCTATTTGGGGCCTTGGGTTAACTTGAGCCAGGCTGGCCTGCTGAACGTAAAAAACAGGGATGTCAGGGGTGTTTTGGACATTTGGGGTTTTAAGGGAATCATTTTCTGTTGGGGGAAAGTTCTAGAGGATAAGATGAGAGCTGGTTTGTTAAGGGCATGGGATTTTCAGATATTTTTAAAAGGTTTAGGGCTGTCTTAGGCCTGCCTATATAAAGACCTCTTTCTCTTCATATTGAGCAGCTTTTGACACCCTGAAGACTGAAAAAAATAGAAAGAAATACTGAAGTTTAGAATCAATTGATTTCCTTCTAAAAATCCAAAAAAATGCTGAAAGTTGTTTGAGTTGGTTTAGGTTTCCTGGTTTTAATTCTCTGAATCATTCTGTTGATTTAGAATTTCTGGAAAATTTCTGAAACTGGGCATTTGGTGATAGAAATGGTTTAAGCTTGGTTTAGAGTCGTTTTGTTGGAGCTTGTCTACTGTTCCATTGATTTTTACTGAGCTGTTCACGGTTTGACTGACCAAATCTGGGCTGTGCTACTGCTTCCTGCTGACACTCTCATTCATTTTGCTATTTTGATTTTCTAGGTACATGGCTTTGAACCTTATTTAATGTAAAGCTGAATTGGAAGAAATGAAATAAAACAAGATTTAAAGTGTAGAAGCAGATTTGCTTGTGATTCAACAGCATTTCCTCATTTTTTTTTGTGTCTCTCATAATGTGATTCATAGTATATTGGTTGATTTGGAATTTGAAACAGTTATCTTTCATGTTTGTATTTGATTTGGAATCTCTGAGATGCTGTAGTAGAAGATTTGGGTTGGATTACTGTATCTTAAATGTGTTTTCCTTTTGGCTATAGCAATGGTCATGCTTGGTGAAGATTGTAATCTAGATTGGTTGCAATGGTTAGTATAGGGTAGGGACAGATCGATAACATGCCGTATGCTGTTTGAAGGACATCATGAGAAGTTATTTTGCTGTGAATATTCTGTTTATAAACCCTCGCTGAAAATGATTTTAATAGTTTATTAATGTTGTTTAAATTTGACATGAGTCACCTTAGGATTCTATGTTTCGATAAGTTTTTGTGAGTTTTTCTTTGCTGTAGCACGTATTTAAAGAAGCACTTTTAAGCTTAGTTATTTGCCTAACTCTTATTGAATCTGCTGAAGACTTATGTGGTAAATGGTCCAATGATTGTATGGTATTGAAAGCCATGCCAGGCGCAGTCTGCGTTTTTCAAAAGCTAGTATGTTGCTTGATTGAAGACTCGATCTCGAGTCTTACATCCTAATGCTCAACTCTCCCAGGTTTGGGCCTACAATGGGCCTGGAACGGAGATCAGCTTGCGTTTCTTCACGTGAAGGACCAGTTGGTCGAGCCCAAGGCTCTTTTGCGCTGCTTTCTAATATCCTTTCTTACGTTGGTTTTTTTATTAGTTTAAAATTTGGCCCGAGTTTTAGTCCAGAGATAGTGATAATTCTTTTCCCTTAGCCAATTAGACTTTCCAAATTGAAATCGAGGTGTGCCATATTTAATAACAAATAGCTATGGCCCTCAAACATTTAGTTTGAATTTCCTTTTAAGAATCGGAATTGAGGTGCGCCGCGCCAAATAAAATCTCAAATGCGTGGCTCTCGTTTAATTATTTCTTTTAAAATCCTTAGAATTCGAGGTGTGCCATTTAGCAAACTTTCCATGGCCCTCGCAAAGTTAAAAACGCGTAGTTGCTTTAGGCGCGTTATTTTAATAATATTACCTTCCTAAACTCGGGTGCGCATTTCATGTGACCCAAATCCAAATCTTAAGAACCATCCTTTTTCTTCACAACAAGGTAGGAGCACCCCAATGTGATACACTGGGCCGAATGAAAACCTTATCAAGCAATTCCTGTAACTGCTCCTTAAACTCCTTCAATTCAGGAGGAGTCATACGGTACGGAGGAATAGAAATGGGCTGAGTGTCCGGCAACAGATCAATGCCAAAATCAATATCTCTATCGGGCGGCATGCTCGGAAGATCAGCTAGAAACACATTAGAGAAATCCCGTACTACTGGGAATGAATCAACTGCAGGGGTATCAATACTGACATCTCTCACATAAACTAGATACGCGTCACACCCCTTCTCAACCATACGCTGAGCCTTAAGGAATGAAATAACTCTACTGGAAGTATGACCTAAGGTACCCCTGCACTCTACTCGCGGTACACCTGGCATAGCCATTGTCATGGTTTTCGCGTGACAGTCAAGAATAGCATAATGGGGCGACAACCAGTCCATGCCCAAGAATACATCAAAGTCTAATTCTGAGCAATAACAAATCGGCTCTGGTCTCAAAACCACTAAGGGCAATCGAACGCGACCGATAAACGCGGTCCACAACAAGAGAATCTCCAATAGGAGTAGAAACATAAACAGGAGAACTCAAAGAATCCCGAGATATGCCCAATACGGGGCAAAATAAGAGGACACATAAGAATAAGTGGAGCCTGGATCGAATTAAATCGATGCATCTCTATGACAGACCAGGATAATACCTGTGATGACAGAATCGGAGGCGACAACCTTAGTGCGGGCAGGAAGGGCATAGTATTTGGCCTGGTCTCCCCCTCTAAGGCGACCTCCACCTCCCCGACCTCGACCTCTAGCTGGCGGGGCAGGTTGGGTAGCAACTGGTGCTGAAATCATAGCCTCGGAACTCTGCGGAGCACGCTGTGGCTGAGAAGTCTGTGGAGGCGCACCCCTCCCTAGTCTAGGGTAATACCTCACCACATATGTCACCACACTCAAAACAACCTCGCGGCTGACGTGGCAGTGGGAACTATGCGGTACAGGTACTCTGAGACCCCTGAACACTTGAAACACTGTGCGAAGCCTGAAACGCAAACTGAGCTGGCTGACCCACAAAACCTCTACCATGCCGTACTCTTCCTCCAAAATAAGGGCCAGTGGATCTCTCCGGTCTACGAGGTCTCCTCGCCTCCCTATACTTTCTCTCCTAACCTCATCTGTCCTCTCTCTCCTGGACCCACCTATCCTCTACTCGGCGAGAGATCCTCACCACCCGCTGAACTGGGACCATAGGCTGTGTCGCCATGACACCTGAAACCTAACCAATGTGAACTCGATGCTCTGGGGTGGGGACGGCGGGAGTCTGGGCCCCTCCCCCGATCTGTGAAGTAGTTGGTACAACCTGAATCAATTCCGCCTGAACCAATGTACCAAACATGCTCAGGAACTATGTTAAGGTCTCCTGAAGTGCTGGAGTAGTAGTAGCAGTAGGCGTATCAGGTGCCTAGGCTCCAGCTGGAACTGCTGGTGGCTCCTCTGTAGCAGCTCGCGCGGGTGCTCTGGCTGCACCGCGTGCACGTCCTCGGCCTTTACTCCGGCCCCGACCTCTGACGACTCTTGCAGGGGGCGCGGGTGTCTGGTCACCTCCAGTAGCACGTGTCCGCACCATCTGTGAGAGAATGGAAAATAGAGGTTTAGGATTGTGATGTCAAAAATCTCGCACGACAAGGAAATCAAATGAAGTGGAATTTTCCTAACGGTTACATAGCCTCTCGTAGATAAGTACAGACGTCTTCGTGCCGATCCGCGAGACTCTAATAAACTGGCTTGTGATTCATGACTCCTATGAACCTAGAGCTCTGATACCAATTTGTCACGACCCAAGTTCGCCCTCCGTGATCATGTCGTGACGGCACCTAGTCTCTACGACTAGGTAAGCCTAATAGGTTGCGGAAAAGAAATAAAATGCGGAAAAACTAATAAAAACTGAAGATAAGCAATATAGAAGCGTTTAAGATGCTGCTCGGCATAAACCAATACAAGATCTCAAAAACTCAACAACTCCCAAAACCCGGAAACTCACGAATCACAAGCTATGGATACTATATAGTCTTCTAACTCTGGAATGTCTAAATCAAAGAAATACAGATAACTACAAGAGAGAATGGAGAGGGACTCCTCGGTCTGCGGACGCGGTAGATATACCTCGAAGTCTCTGAAGAATCGCCTCGCCTCAAGGTTAATAGGGCTGAGTCGAAGAACCTGGATATGCACACGAAAAACATGTGCAGGAAAGGGCATGAGTACACCACAGCGGTACCCAGTAAGTGCCAAGCCTAACCTCGGTCGAGTAGTGACGAGGAAAGTTAGGGCCCTACCGGTCATATACATTTATATATAAGGAAATGTAACAGTATGAAGTAACACAGTATAATAATAAGAATAACAACAACTACAACAGAGAGAAATATCACAGAAAGAATACAGCTCAACACAGAGATAGCAACTGGGGATCTACCAGGATCCCGTCCTTTAGCCCCCAAATATAATATCCAGCAAATCGGGGATCTACCAGGATACCTTCCTGTAGCCCCCAAATATTAATGTCCAATGGATCTCCCAGGTGTCGTCCCGTAGTCCACCTCATAGTGCGTCGGGGATCTACCGGAATCCCGATCCGTAGTCCCCAAATTTAAATACCTAGTACTGGGGGAATCTACCGAGTGCAGTCTCGTAGTTCCATATAACTGTGCAGGGGGATCTACCGGAATATCAATTCCTAGTCCCAAATAAACAGGCAAGGGGGATCTACCGGGAAATCGCCCGTAGTCCCCAAGTAAACACACAGCAACAACACGAAGAATATTTAATTCAATCTAATTTCATACCAAGGTAAACATCTATTTCTAACCTAGCATGTTGCACCGAATTCAGATAAAGCAGTTTGAGCAAGTAAAACAATTGAGTCAGTTAGACATGCTTTCCTAAGCTAACAGTAGGCTTAAATTTCAAGCAGTGTAACAGGGAAGAAATACACAATTATAGTTACGTAATGAAAACCGGACTTTCAACAATTAGCACATGTACGCACTCGTCACCTCACGTACAAGGCATTTCATATATCAACAATACCAAATCCTAAGGGGAGTTCCCCCACACAAGGTTAGGCAAGCCACTTACCTCGAACCAGCCTAATCAACTCGATACCACATTCTTGCCACGAGTACCCGACTCCAAGTGGCCCAAATATATTCAAAGTGATTGCATAATGTAAATATAACTTCAAGTAACTAATTCAACTGATTAATTCGAAGCTAATACGCGAAATTAGGAATGATCGCCCAAAAAGTCCCCCGGGCCCACGTCTCTGAATCGGGTAAAATTTACAAATTCAGAATCCTCACACTCTCACGAGTTCATACATACCAAATACACAAAAATTGGACCACAAACAACCCCTCAAATCCCCAATTCCAAGTCTCCAATTTCAAATATTAAACCCCCAAATTTAACCCTTATTTCCATATATTTCTGGCCCAAATCAGTAGAAAATACAATAATAACGAGTTTGGGTTCCAAAAACCTTACCTCCTTGAAGCTCCTTTGAATCCTCTCTCAAAAACCTCCCAAAAGCTCAAAAATTCGGATGAAAATGGTGAAGAAAATGGGCAAAATCGCGACTGAACCTTTATATAGGTTCTGGCCCAGGATTTCTGCACCTGCGGCCATTTCCTCACACCTGCGGTCCCAGGTGCACACCTGCGAAATTTCACTTAAAACACCTAAGCCGCACCTGCGCTTCTTCTACCGCACCTGCGGTCTCGCAGGTGCGCTCAAGCTATCGCACCTGCGGAATCTGGTTTCCAAGCGCATAGCCGCATCTGCGGCTCCTAAATCGCTTCTGCGATCATGCACCTGCGGTCCCCCAACCGCAGGTGCAATTATGACAGAACTTCAGCAACCTTCAAATTTCTCCTAAGTCCAATTCAACTTCCGTTAAGCACCCGAAACTCACCCGAGGCCCCCGGGACCTCAACCAAACATGCCAACAATCCTTAAACATCCTACAAACTTATTCCAACCCTCGAATCACATCAAACAACGCTAAAACCACAAATCACTCTCCTATCCAAGCCTAAGGATTTCCAAAACTTCCAATTTCCGCTTTCGATCAAAAAGCCTATCAAACCTCGTCCGAATTACCTAAAATTTTGCACACACGTCCTAAATGACACAACGGACCTACTCCAACTTCTGGAATTCCATTCCGACCC